ATTAGCTTAAGGAGGGCTGCATGTTGTATCATGGGTTGATCCTAAAGTGTTGATTAGCATTCTTAAGTCTTTTCAAATTGTTTTTTTTTTTTTTGGTGAGGCAATTGGGGTTAAGTGACTTGCCCAGGGTCACTCAACCAGCATGAGCTAGTGGTGACACTTGAACTCAGGCCTTCATGATGTCAACCATTTTTTACTCATCTATCACGCCACTTCTTTTCAGGAAGAAAAGGCTCAGGAGAGGGAGAAAAATATAGTTAACAATCCAAATGGCTTGTGACCTGGGTGTCCCCTGAAGCAAGCTAATGTGGGCCTGAGGCAGGAAGGGCCTGGTGAGGTGTGGTCAACTTCCATGTTCAAGCAGAATGAAAGGTCTTAATTCTCAAAAGGAGCAGGGCACAGCCCGGAACACTCCGCTATGAAATACTGGGCACTGATTAAGTTTCCTGATGGCCACGAACAGCTGCAGAGGGCTTGGGTCCTTTGCATTGGATAGGACTGCTAAGCTCAGAACACTCAGAACCAGAGAACTGGCAGGGGCCTCAGAGGTCACCCGGCCTGACTCCAACCTGAAGCAAGGCTTCTGGGACAGCATCCCCTGCCAGAGCATCCAGCCCCAGAGGACTCACTACCTTTCCAGGCAATCCATTCAAATCTGGGGCAGTTGTAAGGATTCCAGTTGTTTGGAATTATCTCCTGGGTTGAATGGAAATCTGTCTATCTGCATTTTTCACCTGGTGCTACTATTTCTGCCCTTCTGGGACCAAGCAAAACAAGTTGAATCCCTCTTCCATATGACAGCATGTCCCACGCTTGAAGACAGTTATCATGTTCTCCCTGAGTCTTCTCATCTCCAACCTAACCATTCCCAGTTCCTTCAATTGATTTTCCTTCTCCTCCTCCTCCTCTCCTTCTCACAACTGACATTTACATAGCATTTTTAAATTCTGCAAAGGGCATTACATGCCTCAGTTTCCTCATCTGTAAAATGAGGGAGTTGGACCCAATGACCTCTGAGGCCCCCTTCCAGGTCTAAACACTATGATACTGTAATCCTGCGATTATGTCATTTGAACCTGACAACCACCAGATGCTACATTTATTTTTATTCCCATTTTACAGATGAAGAAACTGAGGGTCATAGAAGTGAGGTGAGTTGCCCAGGGTTACGTAGCTAGTGTATGTCAGGGATGGGGGTTGAACCCTGGTATTTGTACTTCAAGCCCAGCCCTCTTGTTCCCTTCATGTACTCTAGTCCATCAGCATCCCTCCTGAAATATCCCAGAATTAGGCACAATGTTCCAGATGTGGTCTGACCAGGCCAGAGCAGTGAAACCCTCCCCACCCTCATTCTGGGGACCATACGTCTAACAAAGGACAGGTTTGACCATATCACTCTGTCGCCCCATTCCCGTTACAATTAGGACCCAATCCAAATTCCTTTTCAGGCCTTTCTCTTTAATGGCCTTGAAATTTCAATGATATAGAGGACTCCCAATTAGATTTCCTCCCCTGAGGCAGATCAGCAACTTATTGTCAGTGTACAGCATTAGAAAATTGCTTGAGAAACTTAGAGGTTAAGTGACTTGTCCAGGATCACACAGCAGATAGGTGTAGAGGGAGGGGTTGAAGCCAGGCCTTCCTGGCTGGGAGGCCAGGCTCTGCCTTGCTCACCCTGCAGTCCCTTCTTTAAAGACCTCATTGTAATTAAGGGGTATGGGCTGGCGCCTGCGATTTCGATGGTAGAGAGGAGAGCTGTCCAACACTCCCAGTGTTGCCAGTAGCACACTCCCCAGGGTTCCCAAACTAGACTAAAATACCATTGGGAAATATTTAGCAAAATAAGTAAAAATACAATAGAATGAAGGTCAGATTAATATGTGGTTGTTGAAGTCAATATGCAGCTGGCAGGGATCATATTGCTTAGTGGCCCCCATTTCTCTTTCTTTCTTTCTTTCTTTTTTTTTGGCTAGGCAATGGGATTAAGTGACTTGCCCAGGGTCACACAGCTAGTAAGTGTCAAGTGTCTGAGGCTGGGTTTGAACTGAGGTTCTCCTGACTCCAGGGCTGGTTCTCTATCCACTGCACCACCTAGCTGCCCCAGTGGCTATCTGAGTTTCTATCTGAGTTTGATCCCACTGGAACAGAAATACCTCTTCGGGGAGACTACTCCCTCTACCAGTGTAGGACGGCACCTTAGGTGCAATGTGGAGGTCTCAGAGAGTTGTCCAAAGCACTGAGGTGTGCCTGGAAATGGGGGTGCCCTCCTTTTCACACCTCTGCTTCTCAGATCCTTTTTTTTTTTGGCTAGGCAATGGGGTTAAGTGACTTGCCCAGGGTCACACAGCTAGTAAGTATCAAGTGTCTGAGGCCAGATTTGAATTCAGGTCCTCCTGACTCCAGGGCCACTGCTCTCTCCACTGTACCACCTAGCTGCCCCTCAGATCCTCATTTTCTTTCAAGGCTCACTTCAAGTACCATCATCTCTATGAAGCCTTTGACAGATATGGACTATTATATGACCACTGCTTACTCTGGTGTCCTGCACATTATTGTTGTCCAGTCCTTTCAGTCATGACTGACTCTTCATGACCCCATTTGGGGGTTTTTTGGCAGGCATACTGGAGTGGTTTGTCATTTCCTTCTCCAGCTCATTTGACAAATGAGGAAACTGAGGCAAACAGGGTCACATGACTTACCTAGGGTCACACGACTTACCTAGGGTCACACAGCCAAGTTAGCATCTAAGGCCAGATTTGAACTCAGGAAGATGAGTCTTCCTGCTTCCAGGCCTGGCACTCTATCCACTGAGTCATACAGCTGCCCTGCACACAGTAGGTACTTCGTAAATATTTGAGTCCGTGTATCAACATCTCCCTATTGATTTTGGAACTCCAGTGCAGGACTTTACATTCCTCCCTATTAAATTTCATATTTTAATCTTCAGCCATTGTTCTTGCCTGGAAGACTTTCTTTGGGGTAGGGGGATTCCCGATTCTGTTTCCAATGAATGCACCATCTCTCCTAGCTTCCTATCCCCTGCTAATATGATAAGCAGGACGTCCATGATTAAAACAGATGTAGGAAACCCATTGGATTTTCTTTCTTTCTTTTTTTGAGGCAATTGGGGTTAGTGACTTGCCCAGGGTTACACAGCTAGTAAGTGTCTGAGGCCAGATTTGAACTCAGGTCCTCCTGACTCCAGGGGCCAGTGCTCTATCCATTGCACCAACTAGCTGCCCCTCCCATTGGATTCTGAACTCCAAACTCAAGTCACCAAGATTTGTGGGCCTCTTACCGGAAACTGTTTCATAAGCTTTCACGATTGGAAACCTTTGTCCAATGACTATAAACTTGTGGGGACAGAGGCCAGAGTCTTAACCTCCCCCATCACAGCCGGAGCTTAGCTGGGTTTTGGATCCAAATAACAGAATTGCAAGGCTGGTGGGAAGTAAAAACACAATGTTTTTTTTTTTTTAAAGGTTCACGGACCATCTAGGGAGCATGACTAACGATTGAATGGTTTAAAAAAAACCTACCATTTATCATCAAGTGTTAGAACTGCATCCTGGGAGGTATTGGGTTTTTTTTTCCCCCACAAATGATCAGAACATCTTACATTTCTTCCTAGCTAATCTTCTTGCCTCGCCAGCTTTTCCTTCCTACAGATGTCAAAAGAAATCTTCCTAATTAATCCTCATGTCATTGTCCAGTTCAGAAACCTTCTATAGCTCCCTACTGCCTAGAAGTTAACACACAAAACTCGCCAGGCTGACATTTAAAGCCGTACACAGTCTCCTCTGCCCTACCTTTCCAACCTTATTTCACATGACTCCTCCTCACACCCTTGAACTTCCAGTCAAACAAGATTCCTAGTAATAACTCTCTGATATCACCCTGCCATCACCTCCAGGCCTAGGACACACCCTTGTTTCATTTCATCTCTGCTTGCTGAAGTCTTTTTCCTTCAAGTCTTCAAGGACGTCCAGATGTAGCCTCCTCCATGAAGGAAGCCTACCCTGATCGCTCCAGTGGAAAGTACTGTCTCCCTCTTGAAGAATTCTGGGGACACGTTTTCTGGTTCTCTCCTTGGCCCCTCACAATCCACACTATACCATGCTTGTCTGTGGACGTGTCATAACAACAATGATAATAGCTAGCATTTATATCGAGCTTTGAGGTCTACAATGTGCTAGACATATTATTATCATATTCCCCCCCCCCCCCGCCCCAGAGTGTAAGCCCTTTGAGCAAGGGCTAGGTTGTTTTTCCATCTTTATATCTCCCCATCTCCTTACATATACAGTAGGTGCTTAATATATGTTGATCTTCCATGAAACTTCTCCTGTCCTGCTCCCCCCACGCCCACTTGCTCATGTCTCCCTTATCAAATTACCTTGTATTTACTGGACACTTTTATACACTCCTATGGGTATATATTATTTCTGCTTTCAGAGCACTAGGTCCTTCAGAGCTGCTCAGTTTTCATAGCTGTATCTATAGTGCCTAAGCCAAGGGCTGGCAATCAACAAGCATCTATTAATGAATTACTCTATAGACTAAGCACTGTATTAAGAGCTGGAGAGATACAGAGAAAAAGCAAAAAACAGCAAGTGATTAAGAAATGCATTTATTAAGTACTTACTGTATACCAGGCACTGTGCTAAGTGC